GAGCCATCAGATAGTAGGGCTTTCTCAGCTGTGACAAGTAAAGGGATCTAAATGTCTCTTACCTGTTCATACTACACTCCAGGGACTGCAGGAATCTTTAAGAAACAGAGTGAGGGCCCACAAGATGGTGCAGTGCGTAATATGCTTACCGTAGAGCCTCATGACCCGAGATCAAATGGTTGAGAGAGCGAGCGAGCTTACACAGTTGCCCTCTGACCACCACGTGTGCGCTGTGGCTCATGAACAGCCTTCAACCAAACTCACACAGAATAAATATATAAATGAATATAAAAATGTAGTGGAACTTCTTCTTAGTTCCTCCTTTAACCACTATGGTAGAGCCAATGGACAGATGATACTATACAAACTACATTAAAACATTTGGTCCACTTTGGGTAGGAGAGTCAGTTTTCTGTATTATGTGCCTCCAATAAAGGAAGTCAGGGAGGGAAAAGGGAGCCCCCCAACCCCACCCCATGAATGATGCATGGTGTGCCTACTGGGAACAGTAAAGCGAGGCCACCTTCTATAGGCTGTGTTTTAATGGGATGAGATCATGTTGGCATGTTTGGGTTGGCTGCAGATAGGAAAATGTCTGTTTTATTCTAAACAATGGGTAGCAGGGGACCTGAGTTTTTAGTCTCATCTAGGGCTGAGGATATAGCCACTTGCAAGAGCACCCGCATAGGACAGAGGCCCAGGGTTGTTGCCAATACCAGAGAACAACCAGAAACCCCAAACCGACCAAGAGTGGGATATTGTGGGCTGGACTTATGCCAAGGTGAGATGTGATGTCTAAGGTCACAGCACAGAATTAAAAAAGTGGTACCAAGGAGGTGGGAAAATGCATTTTCAGTAATAACCCTGAACCTGACATAGTTTTCAGCTTCCTTGTGAACCAATCACCCACTGAGCCGAAGAGCATAGCCCAAGTGAAAGCAAATGCTGCTGTATGCTTACCCTACTTAAAGAAGACTGACAGGGAGAATAAAGTTTCAGATGTTTTTATTCAAAGGTTTCTCAAAAGAAATAAAACAGAAAAAGCTAACAATCTGATCAAATGTACAGTTCAAAAATGTCTTTTGGCGTTTAACAAGTCCTAGGAAAGAAAACTACAGAGTCATCTTGAACCGGTAAATAAGTCACCGCTGGCAAGTATGTAGCACTAGTAGAACAAAAATAAAAAATTAACTCTCTTGATCATATAGATATCTCTATGAAAATCTTTTTTTTTTCAATCTGTACAAAAGGTCTTTCTTCATAAATTAATTTTTTTTATAATTTAATGGCTGTCTACTATGTGATGTTTAACTGACTTTTTTTTTTTTTATTATGTACAGAGGTTGTTTCCCAAATCTGACCCAGACAAGTATGGCACTTAGTTCAGACATACCTAGCAGCAGATTTCCCCTCCCCTACTGACTGAGCTACCATCTTTCTGTCTTAACTAATGGAAAAAATATCAAGTAGTGAGAGCCCCGGGCTGATAAACACACTAGGTACACAGAGGGAGGGTGCTGCGTTCAGTCTGGATTTCCACAAAGCAGAATGTTGTTTTAGGGAGCGTAGAACCAATAATACCACAACTTCATTAAAAACAAAATTAAAAAAAAAAGGAAACAAGAACAAAACCAAGAACACATTTCTCTTATGACTATGTAATTTTCACTAGAATCTACACTTCTCAGAGCAGCAAGGACGTTTGAAACTATGAAATGTCACTGACATCTATCATCAAATACAAGCAATAAAATTTAAGAACTAAAAAATACTCAAAAGAAGTAACTGCTTAGCCCTAGCTCCCGAGCTAGGAGGATTTGGTCGGTGGAAACAGGGAGGGCCAGCAACCTGTCCCAGCACAAAAGAAAAGCCTCTGAGGTAGATAACTGATCATCCACAGCTGACCAGACAAGTACACAGTTTTGGAAGACAACTTAATTTACCATTGCTTTTAAAACGTATGCAATTGCCTTAAGAAAAGAGCATTAATAACAATGAATTATCTCATATGTACTAAAGTAGAAATAACTGTATTTATGAATCAGGAATTTCATAGTTTCAAAGTTGGTTTTCTTTACACTTGAACACCTGTAGTGATGACGTAAAGTGTGGCACTGCTTGGATTCAAATCTTCCTTCATGCTTTTTTTTTTTTTTTAAATTTGTCTCTGTGAGTCCATACATCAGTTAAAATTATAAAACCTAATGCAAAGGTACAAAAAAGGCACATTCTCCTAACCGCAAACTGGTCCGGCAAAAATAAAGAGCAGAGAAAATGTGACGCTGAGACAAGGTGGAGTTACTGGCTACTGGCTCTTCGGTCTTTGGTGAAGTTACCTTTAAAAGTGCCAAGTCATTTTTAGTTTTTCAAAATTTACCTAATAGAGAGCGAGCGAGCAAGTGAGAGAGAGAGAGAGCTAGTAGCCAATTGCTTTTCTTCTGTTCATATCTCAGCTCAGGTTTGAAGAGAAATCCTTACTTTTAGCTTTTGCCATTTAGTT